GCCGCTCCGTGCTAACCGAGCCGTTGGGAGTCGGTGCTGGATGCTGAGCCGGAGCCCAGGACCCTTCCCACCAGCAGCGTGGCCGCTGCGTCTCTGTGCACTATTTTGGATGGGTGCAACACTGCCCTTGCAAAAAACGACCCCAAGCCTTGGAGTTTGCATTTCACTCTGGTGGGTGGGGTGATGTTGGGTTTTTGGGGGAAAAGGGGGGAGCAGGATGCAGCTCACACAGCCGGTCCCTGCCACGGGGTGCTGGACCCTGTCCCACAGTGCCATGCCGACATGTGGGATGGCACTGCCACCGGCAGAGAAAGGTCTGAGCCACCTCCAGCTTGGCCCGGTGCAAGATCCTCCTTTTGAAAGCTCTTGGCAATAACAAGCGTCAACTGCTGCAGGAAGGGCTCGTGCAGAGGAAGAGCAGCCAGGAATTCAAGCTTAAGAGCTGCAGGCCTCCCCGAACTCCTCCCCAGCCTGGCACAAACCAGCCGGCCACCCTATTGCCCTGGCAAGCTGCCCAGTATGGCCCAGCCTGCACCCGCAGTGAGCCCTCCCTAGCCAAGGGCACCGCTCGGCTGCTGGCTCGGCAGCCCCTGGATCAGCTGGGGAATTGCACCCGCCCGTGCCTCAAAAATGATGAGTGCCACCCCCCTTCCCCAAACCCCTGCTCCCGGCAGGCCCGAGGGGAAGCACGGTGCCTGCACAGCCCCGCCGGCAGCCGTGCCACCCCCGGGTCAGCCCCATCGCCCAGCTGGGGCTCCTCCTGGGGATGACACCCGTGCCCAAAAGCCTTTCTTTTTAGCAGAAGGCTCCTGGGGCACACTCGCTGTACAGAATTACCTGCAGAGATGTAAGCTGTAAATACACAGGCTTTTCTGGTAACAGCTCGTTCAGAATTTGCCAGTTCTTCACCTAATCTTGATCTCTGGTCAGGACCTCCCTGGGCAGAGGGAGTGTTTCCATCTCACCCACCTACTTGCAGTCACCATTTGGTGCAGCAAAGCGGTGGCCAGAGTCCTCCTGTCCTGCAATAGCCCTTGCTTTAAAAAAAAAAAAAAAAAAAAAAGCCGAATTTTGATTTAGAGACTCATTTCTGTACGTTTGTGCTCAGCACCTCAGAGCAGAAATTGTGACATTTTTATGGTGGCTTGAGGTCCTCCAGCTTGCTGGCTGATTGAGTACCCAAGCCCTGAGAGCTCCTGGAGCTGGGAGGAACTTTGCTAAATGGCAGCTGCTATGGCTGAAACTCCAAGCAAAGCATTTGGAGGAGGAGGCAGAGGAGCAAGAGAAGGAGGCAGAGGAGGAAAAGGAGGAGGAAGAGGAGGGCCATTTTCATTTGCCCATCCAGAAGCTGCAGCAGGAAGACAGGGTGGCGATTTGGATGGGGGTGAAATCTGTCCTTTTGCATGTCGGCACCACAGATCTTTTTAACAAAGTCACTTTACGGCACGACAGCAGTCACCGGGGACTCTGCTTGCACAGGACACACAGCTCAG